ATATCAATGCACAAGACATCAAATACACAAGAAATATTCCAATTTGGTAAAATCATCAAAATTCACTGTTTAACCCATTAACCCCTGGAGGTTTTTGTTGTTTTCACCTGAAATGGAAGTAGGAAATTGATTTTGAGAGATATTTCTGAATACAACCTAATACATCCACTTCCAAGACATTTTCAGTTAACTTAATGCCTATTTGTGTTATAAATGTCAATTTTTATTGGCACTTTCGACTGAGCATGAGAAGGGTAAAAATTGAGTTCTTTTTTTTTTTGCTTAATGGAACCATCATTTTCGTGTCAAGACCACTCTTCATTCTAAATGCCCATCTTTTCCTACTTTTTTCAAAGGTTCATATGTCTGTGTGCAATTCAGACTGGTCTATCTTAGGTCTGAGGTCAAAAAGTATAAAAACCAGAAACATAACCGGATCACGACCAAGCGGTGCTTGGGGTTAATGAGTTAATATGTTTAAGTGTGCAAAAGAATATAATTCAAAACTCAACGTTATGGTAATTTACATTATTATCCAGCAGTTACCAAATAGGATGAAATATGTCATTATGATGTCAGATGGAAATAAATTTGCCCATAGTACAGGTACTCGACACGAGCTTGATTTTTTTATAAAAAACAATAATCTTAAGGAAAAAGTTATACAGAGTGACAAAAGTACCTCAGATTACCCCGATGACCCGTTCTGACATTGGACCCTCTCTGTCATACTATATAAGAGACAAGATATGTAACTTCCGAACACTTCGTTTCACCCATGACCATAAATTTCCTTTTACTATTTTCGTCTCTAACGGTATATGATCATATTCTATGGCTTGTTTTAATTTTCTATCCATCAAGCCATCGTTGACTATTCTACGTTGCACCAAACTGAAGTTATGGGCTCCATAGTGTATGGCGCCGTGTTAATATGGAAAATCCGTTAAGTATGACAGGTGCAATAGGATGCCAGTATTAGTGCCATTCTGGTCAGAGTCAGGTTAAAGATTATAAACCAATGATTCAATTGACTTAGTTCTGTGCACTTTTTATCACATTGAACGTTTTAGTTATTGAAATCGGTAGAGATGTACAAACAAACGAGGATGTAGCGTCAGACTAAACTGTAATCCCTACATAGTTCACGTCATGTGCGAGAAAGTTTTAGAGGAACCCTGCACACTATTGGAAGAAAAAGAAGAACAAGAAGAACATTAGAAAATATTACTGATGAAAAAAAAAATTTAGTTTCTTTTTACCTTATCTCCTTCAAACTTTCCAATTTATGCAGAATTTCTAATTCTTCTTTGCTCGCCATTTTTCTTTTCTTTATGCCAAATTTTCGAGGCGCTTAACTTCGAAATTATTTGAGTAACAGCAAGCTTTCATGACTCAGAACTGTCGGTATTTGACAAACTATTTAATAGAGAATTGATAATAAAAATAAAGACACGGGGACAAGTCTGGTATGACCTTGTCCTTTCCTGCAATGATGTAGCAGACGATTTGTAACTACGTAAGGTACGCAATTGGAGTTTTAGTTTAAAGTATTTTAGATTTTAAAAAAAAAAGGATCGTTTTAGTTTGCTTAATATCTATATCATTTTATTTGGAATTGTAATGCAGAAATTTGTAAAACAGCTGTAATCCTGACCTTATTCCTCCGTTAACTTGCTGACAGAAAGAGTCCAAACTCAATGCATTTCATTTCCATAGCCTGATGCATACATATTAAATCTTTTCAAAGCTATGCGCAGAATAGACCAGTATATCGCGAGTCAAGAAAACACAAAGGTGTTATCCTATGCATCCAAAATTAATATTGTTTTGAACAAAATATTATGGTGACGGTTGCCGCTTTTCAAATGGTACTGAGTAATCATTTATAGTATTTTATTATTGGCAATCTGTCGAATTCAGTTTGGATTTTGCATTAGTATTGGTGATGAAAACTTAGTGCGCAGAAAAGCGGGGGCAGTTGTATACATATACAATAAGAGTGAAACTTTCCTTATATTCTTTTAATTTTTCAAAATGATTATGACAATATACCATGTATTTTCAGAGATGGTATTTTTAAACATTGAGGGTATACTAATTGAAGTTCACACAATGAACATGTTGGATTAACCACTGATATCCAGCAGCATTTTATTAGACATATTGTAGACTTAACATCTGGTCAGACTATTTTGCGTGTCATGTAATTCTATGCTGCGATGCATAATTTTTGTAAACATTAAATAATGTAATGTTTTTGGTAAAAAAAAATTCCAATTTGTATAAAGAAAGAATGATTGTCCTTTAACCCTTTCATCACTAAGTAACTTTGTAAGCACAGTGTCCTCAACACTAAGTAACTTTGGAGTTGTTAAGCAAAATGACTTGTTCTAGTGTGTTGTAGCAAAATTTTGAAACAACATAACTTTGCCAATGTTAAAGATATCTGGCTGGATTAGGTGTCAAAATCAAGGTTAAAAATCAATTTTTATGACTAATTCAATAAAATGTGCATATCTATTACAACTGTTAAAATGCAGGTACAAACAGGTAACACAACAGATAAAATACAATTGTTTTATTACCTCTTAGAAAACTTAGAAAGTTCTCAAAACTTGTTCAATTGACCCTAGATGTATTAGTCAATAATCACAAGTCTTTCTTTCATGGTGTCCATAATAAGATTCTATAAAATGAACCAAAATGATCTCCAAGGTGAGATCTGTCCACACACCTATATTGCCTCTGCCACGTTTGATCATCGCATTGAAGTTTGTTAAACAGAAATTTTTTCCAAAAACTTTATCTGAATAGAATATTTGCAAATATTCCAAAGCTTTCCTGGAGCCATCTAACACTGTGGTGTGCCAATCTCTGTCAAAAAAATGAAACAAATCTCTGGTTTTCTGGCTTTGTCCAAACAAAATCATGTGGAGCTTACAATTCCTCTGGTTCAAAACCCTCTTCATCGTCATCACTGTCACCCACAAGAGCATTCCATTGGCTCTCCATACGTCTTCTCTCATTTTCATCTAAATTTACCAGGTCGAAATAATTTAAATTCTCCGATAACTCAACATTGAAGTTTCTTTGTGTTGGTATATGCATAGACCTAGCTGCTGCCATGACTATGACTGGAAGACTGTCTGGTTTAACTGATTTGTTATGTGTTCTATCTTTGCCAACCAACACCACATGAGCAGAACTGTTCTTGTCACTGGATGGTTATATCAGGAAACCTTAAATGGTCATTTTGTGTCGGTATATGCACAGACCTAGCTGCTGCCATGACTGGAAGACTATCTGGTTTAACTGCTCAGATTAAGGGAGTTGCACATGAGAATGAATTTACGCATTGTATCATTCACAGGGAAATGCTGGTAAGCCGAAAAAATGTCACCGGAATTTAACAGCATATTGATTGATGTCGTTAAAGTTATTAACCACATCAAAGCACACATCCTTAACTTGCGCCTGTTTCAGCAGCTTTGTGAGGAGATGGACGCAGAGCACAGATGCCTTCTCTTATACACAAAAATGAGATGGTTAACAAGAGGAAAATCGCTAAGCAGAGTATTTGAATTACGAAAGCCATTACAAAGATTTCTCTCAGAAAAGAAGGCAACTCTAGCAGCACATTTCAGTGACAAGGTATGGTTCGCAAAACATATTCAGCCTGCTCAATGAATTCAATCTGTCCCTTCAGGGGAAAATGACAACCTTTTTCCAGTTGGCAGACAAAGTAGCTGCATTTAAAGCCAGACTGGAGTTTTAGGGATGGCGCATGAACAGAGGCATTTTGGACATGTTTCAGACATTAGCTAGGATTATAGGCGAGACTGAGCCTGAGCATTCGTTCTCTCAGTTGGTGCACGATCGCCTTTCTTTGCTTTTAAAAGAGTTTGAGCGCTATTTCCCAACCAAACAGACCCATGAACTGGTAAGGAAAGGATCTGCAACTCATTTGTCAACAAACCAGGCAAATCTAGCATGTCTGTGCAAGAGGAAGATCAACTGCTGGAGATTGCAAATGATGGAGGCCTTGAAACTATATTCGAGACAACAACTCTGCCGGTGTTCTGGATTAAATTCATGGTGGAATACCCTGAGATTGCCAACACTGCACTTAAATACCTATTGCCATTTCCTACATCCTATCTGCAGTGACAGCAACCAAAATAAAACAATAAAATAAACTGGACATAAGCAACACACATTGTCTTCTATTATCCCCAAATGGAACCGTCTCATTGCAAAGAAAGAAGTTCAGGGTTCTCATTGATTTAGCGTTCTAGTGAGTTAAAATGTTAAATTACTTTATATTCATTTCTGGTGGAACTGTATTTTATTTTGAAGGCATGTTTAAATACAATTAAATTAAAGTTATTAAATCAAAACAATCTAAAAAATAAACAATCAACGGCATCCCCTTAGCGGGCCGCGGTAAAATTATCAAACATTGACTGGTCCGCGGCGATAAAAAGGTTGGGGACCACTGGCCTAGGAAGTCTGAGTGGGATGCCAACACCTGGTCAAGATATTTATCACAGAAGACCAATAAACATAAAACACATTGACTCATTGAGAAAGTATTTAGTGAACTTAAGAAATTGCTTAAAGTTGAGACAAAAAAACAAGTGTGCTCCTGAAAATTGTAATATTACCACTATATTTCTCACCATGGGCAAACTTTTCAATTAAATGACATAAATAAATGCATGATAAAATAATTAACACATAATTGTTGGGCATAATTGATATAACCATCTATCAAAGGAAATGCATATAATCTGTTAAGAAACTTGCAATTTAAATTCTTTAAAAAGTATAAAGATAATTTGGGAATAATAAATAGAGAGCACATAATTTTTTGGCAAATCAACAACATAAGAATAGAAACATGTAAAAATAAAAAAAAGAATTGCATTTAAACTGAATGTTGAAAGTAGAATTGTATATAAGTAAGTCATTTATGAACCTTCATTCATGATTAAACTGCTCCAGTGGCCTAATGGTTAGAGTGCCCGCCTCGGATGCGGGAGGTCAGGGGTTCAATTCCCGGTTGAGTCATACCAAAGACGTACATAAATGGTACTATTAACTGCCTTGCTTGGCGTTCAGCATTAAGAAGTTAGTGTTAGGACTGGTCGGCATGATGTCTGGATAATGTGACTGGGTGGGACATCATGCTACATGTCTGCTGCATGATGCCCCAGTGCTAAACATCACTATAAACTGCCATACTGCAGACATCATAGGGATATGACTGAAAAATTGTTAAAACTACGTTAAAAATAAACATATCACATCACATCACATCATTCACAAAAATGTTTTATATTATGCAAATGTTAAGAATATATATCTGATGATGAAATCATTGTTAACCTTTCTTAATGAAATAAATAATTTAAAAATAAAATAAATAATTTTCACTGCATGCTCTGTTTCCATTGTGTTAAAACTTTATACTATCAACAAATGTGGCAATGAATATTAAATGTAATAGTTTACATTTGCATATGATGATTGCATACTTTCTCAAAAGGGCATATTTCATACAATTATTAAAGTCAGCTTTAGAAATTAACTATTTTTTTCTGCATACATTTGATGATTAAAAACTTCTTTGATTTTTTTTTTCAATAAAAATTTAAAAACAAACAAAAGTAATTTCCATTACATATTTTATTTACATTGCTTTCCATTTTTTTCACTGTCTATTTTAGTCATGCAGATCTATAATACACTAATCAGATTCTACAATAGATGGACCATTTATCAAAGTTATTTTATGAATGGTGAGCTGTATACTGGTTTATATGTGGGCACTTCTCTGTCCTTAACTGTGTTAAGCTATCAGCCTTTGAAGTGCTTCCCACCTTCTTAGTCATCCAAAAATTTTAAAGGATTTAATTGGTTTCTGTTTCCCCCATAGTGTAGCTGTTTGTTTTTCTGTAACAAATCAAACAAAAAATTGGGAATTAAAGTATTTAATTTTCTTGTTCATGGGTTTCAATTTGCTATTGATATTTTATTTTTTATGGTGGGTCATACTCACAAGGTCCCTGGAGCTGGTCCCTTTGTTTTCCCTCTTGGGATATATCTTTATGACATGTACTTCTTTCCTCAAATACTATGTCTTGAAGATAGTTTCTGTATCCTGGTCCCTAAATTTTTTTAGTGATTTTTGCCAAGGATCAATCTAATGTATTGTGTGTGTTATATGCATATGCTATATTATTTTTATCATGCTATATCAAGCTTATGTTAGGAATGTTTATTTTATATAATGTTAATTTGCATTAGATTTTTTTAAAATCTTTATTTATGTACAAAAAGGTATAAGGTATAGTAGTTGTATAAAATGTGATGTTTCTCCGGTTTCGGTCTAGTTATTTTTTAAATAGTGAATATTTTGCTTTATACATATGTATTTCCCCAGTCCTTGCCTCTATAATAATAGTATATTTTGAAAGGGGCTGGAAATCACTCATGCATCATAAGTAACATACCTTGGGGGTCATGCTACAAGGCAAAGTGGTCGACTAAGTTTTCTGTTAGGAAAGCTTAATAAAGACTTCTCCCTGTGATTTTATTTTAAAGGTGCAATTTGACTGACAATATTTTTTTAGATGCACACTCGTCTGAGCCAGGTTAGTTCTAGTGTGTTGTAGCAAAATTTTTTCATCAAGTCATCATTTGCTATGCCTAGTTTTGATATCAGTTACACTGACAAACTCGTGCACATTCACAGCCATGTGTTATGATAGCTGAATGACCATTAACCCTTTACCTGAGTAAGTCAGCAACTATTAGATAGTAGCATTACCTGATTTCTGCATGTTTTCCTTTAATGATAAAACATAAAAACTTGTGTTGCAAAGCTTTAATAATAGTATGTAAATACTTCATTATAACAATAGTTTGAAACTGGAAGTGAAACAGTATCAGCACAGAGGCTCATTACAAAGAAAGTTAAGAGTGTTCATCACTAAATCAAGGCCTAGGGGTCTAACCTGTAACAATATAACACAAGGGAAGACACAAGTTTGCACCCCTTGATAATTCCAACCGTGCTAGTTTATCCTAATTTCTTCTGTTAATTTCCAACTTAAACCAGTTATAATCAAGAATAGTTCAATTTTCAAAACAGCTTTAATTGACAAACTTCATTCAGTTTGTGACATATTGAAGAAAATGAAACAATTGTTCACTGATGTTTACACCTGGGTAAGTACAAGGAAGTGCCATTTGCAGTCAGATAGTCTTGGACGGAAAGGAAAGATTCAATATCTAGTCAGCACTTCAACACTAAATACAAGCAGACGATAGCAAATTGATAACAGTTTATGTGATTAGAATAAGTATTGACATATACTTTCATACAATAAGTCTGTTACAAAGGTTAACAATGCATAGTGCAACAATGTTACCAGCAATCAGCACCAAATTTACCAAATTCAATATGATTTGTTTTTTACCAACAAAATTAGAATGCATTACAATGTACATTAAATGATATTTACTGCAGTCAATGGTGAACTCCAAGACTATCCAAATGCAAATGGAACAACCTTGCCAGTACTTATCCAGGTGTCAATATTAGCAAACAATTGTTGCATTTGTTCAGTATGAAAGAAATGTGTCAAGCTGTTTTGAAAAATTTAACCAAGATGCTTGATTATAACTGGTTTAAATTCAAAATTAGACCATAGTTGGATAAACTAGCAGGGATGCAGACTCAAGGAGTGCAGACTCGTGTCTTCCCTTGTGTTAAATTTTTACAGGTTATACCCTCAATTCATTGATGGAAACTCTTAATTTTCTTTGTAACAATCCCCTGTGAGTAACAGGGAGGTAATTGAGGAGATCACTATGTCTGGGAAGTAATAGTTTATTAGAGTGTCTGTTTTTGTAAACCATCGGGCAAATATATTCAGAAAAATATACAATTCATAGAAAGCAAAGTCTTGGTATAATGTTATTTAAGATTTAACTTTAAAATGCAATTATGTAGGTCTGGACATTGCTGTGTTGTGGAATTCTCAAGAATGGATAGGCGTTTTAATGTCAAAGCTGTTTTCTGACTTCACTTGTATTTGTGAAAATGCAGAAAAAGCAGTAAAGCAGATAATATTTAACCAATGCTTGAAATACTACAAGCATGTAGACAAATAAATAAATCATAAATTTGCAATCCTATTAATGGACTGTTGTAAAGAAGCAAAGTGAGTATACATTTCAAATACCCCTCCTCCTAAAAATAGATGCACTCACATCTTATGTTGATTTGTTTTGAAAGAAGGGTTTAGTTCATATATCGCCTTTAATGGAACCATGTCAATAATTTTATGCATTTTAGTGTGTTATACATAAATAGTTATGGTAATATTTTATCCAAAACAAATGATGAAGAACAGTATGATGTGAAGACATGTATATTTGCCTCATGTACAAGTTACAGGGATTGTTTTAAATGCATTTAGAAATCTTTAAAAGTTCCATTATTGAGAAAATATATTAAAAAGAAAATAAAGAAAACTTTTTAAAAATTGATTAAGGGTAGTTGATTAGGCATTTTTACTAACTTGCAATTACCATAATGTAATCTGGTTCCTCAGTTAAAATTTGTTACAATGTAGTTGCTATTAGTCTCTTTTAGAGTCATATGAACAAAATAACTCAGCTAATTTTTTACATGAAAAAAATGGTTTTAAATCCAGTGTTAAATGCAGATATGCATACTGTGAAATAAAGGGCATTATTAAAAAAAGCAAACACACACACGCGCACATACACACTTCTGGGCTGTTGAGCTCTATCACTAATCTCAATGTTCCAGTGGTATAATTACCTACTGGAAGTAGTAAATGCATAATATGAGACATAGATAACTAAGTTTCTGAAATGGTCTATAGTGCCAGTCAAGATGCTGTGAACATCACTAGGGAATCAAATTAAATAAAATTTTTAATGGTAATTTTCACCAATATTTTTCAAGAAAAAAAAACAGTAAAGCTTACTAGAGAGTTAATAAGATAGTGGCTAATATTAATAGGATAGTGACAAATATTAGGTTATTAAAAACATAAGGTTAGGACTAAAGATAAATCTAAATGATATTATTCTTCACTGATCTCCATCCCCCAATTATCACCCACTTCATTTTAATCAATTTTTCCCTGAGGGCAGCTTATGTTCACTTAAAATTGCAAAATCATTTTGGCTACTAAGGTTGATTTGATAACTTTGCTCTCTTAACAAGAACATATTGATATAGAAAATTTTCCTCTAGATTTCTTACATGTTCAGATGTTTGTGCAAATTTCTCCTTAATCCGAATTGCCTGATATCAGTAGTCAAGTAATCCATGAATATTATGTCAAATAGTGAGAGAAGGAATAATATTTGTTTACAATTGTAATTATTATATTATTATGTAATGTATAATTATTAATTATTGATAAATGGCACAATTAGTTGTTAAATCTTTTTTATGTGAATGAGTAAATCAAAAATGTGTTGGTGTTTCTGCATTGGTACTACATGTATGTTGCCCGCATCATGCTATTATATGAATGCATTCATATATCTCAACACAAAATCATATTTTACTAACTCTTTGATAATTAAATTTTAAAATTTATATTAGAATATATAGTATTTTTGAGACTGTAATTATTTTATTGAAAATATTACAGAAATGTGAATGTTTTGTTGAATATTATTTGTGCCATGCTTTATAAATATAATTACTTCCTCTGCCAATTTTGTAAGCAAATTAATTCCTTTGTACAACAAAGGAATCTAATTATCTTGTGATTATGTGAAATTTCATATTTATATTAATCATAAATAGGTACTTTTCGCACTTTCAGCAAAGCGAATGATGATGCAAACAAAAGAACACCAACAACCATTTTTCAAGCCTTTGGCGAAAGAAAATTCTCAGGTGACTAAAAGATTTGTCTGAACTTGATAATTTTTATTAGTTCATTACTTGTATAGGTGTTTCTTTTCTTGATATAAGCAGCCATTTAAGATTTTAATTTGTTTTTCTTCTGAGT